CCACTGAATCTCACAAGTATTCTTCCACAGAAGTTTACACCAGAAACCCAGGGAGTCAGGACAGATCAATTTAAGAAGCAGAGGCTAACAAGAAGAGTCTCACAAACAATGGGAAGACAAAGAAACAATCCCCAAATGAAAGAAAAGGAGGAAGCCTCAGAAAGAATGCTAAATGAAAGAGAGACAACTCAACTAATCATATATTGAGTTCAAAGCAATGGTTATCAGGAAACTCAATGAGCTCACTGATAATTACCAAAAACTACAGGGAAACTATAATGAACTCACTGCAAATTATATCAACATGAAAAAGAAATAGAACTATTAACAAGGGCCAAGAGAAAATAAAGAATACAATTTTTGAACTGAAGAAAACAGTAAAAGAAACCAAAAGCAAGCTCAATGAATCAGAGGATCGGATCAGTGAGCTTCAGGACAAAGTAGAAAAAAACACCCAGAAAGAGCAAGAAAAGGAAAAGAGGCTCAGAAAGAATGAAGAGGGATTAAGAGAAATGCAGGACAACATGAAATGTAATAATATCCATATAAGAGGGATACCAGAAGGAGGAGGAGAAGAGCAAGGGATAGAAAACCTATTTGAAAAAGTACTGATAAAAAACTTCCCTAATTTGGTGAGAGAAAAAGTCACACAAATCCAGGAAACACAGAAAGTCCCAGTCAAGAGAAACCCAAAGAGGCCCACTTCAAGACACATCATAATTAAAATGGCAAAATTCCAAGACAAACAGAGAATCTCAAAGGCAGCAAGGGAGAAACAGGAAGGCACATACAAGGGAGCCCTGATAAGGTTAGCAGCTGACTTCTCAATGGAAAAGCTCCAAGCCAGAAGGGAATAGCAAGAAATATTCTAAGTAATTTGAACCAGAGGCCTGCAACCAAGACTACTTTACCCAGCAAGGCTCTCAATAAAGATAGAAGGCCTAATAAGGAGCTTCCCAGACAAAAGAAATCTAAGAATACACCTCCACCAAACCAGCTCTGGAAAAGATGCTTAAGGGATTGCTTTAAGGAAAAGAGAGAGAGAAAGAAGAACACAGGTATGAAAAAATGGCAATGAATAAGTACCTATCAATAGTAATTTTAAATGTAAATGGATTAAATGCTCCAATCAAAAGACATAGAATAGCTGAATGGATAAGAAAGCATGACCCACACATATGCTGCCTACAAGAGACCCACCTCAGGACAAAAGACATACACAGATGGAAAGTGAAGGACTAGAAACAAAATTTCCAAGCAAATGGACAGGTATAAAAAGCAAGGGTAGCAATACTCATACCAGAAAAAAATAGACTTCAAAAAAAGGGCTATAAAGAAAGACCCAGAAGGTCACTTCATAATATTCAGGGGAAGAATCTACCAAGTAGACATAAATATTGCAAATATATATGTACCCAACATAGGAGCACCCAAATACATAAAGAAAATCTTAGAGGACTTCAAGAAAGATATTGACAGCAACACAATTATCATAGGGGATTTTAATATCCCACTGTCAAAAATGGACAGATCTTCCAAACAAAATATCAACAAAGATATTGTGGCATTGAACAATGCCCCAGATGAAATGTCCTTAACTGATATATATGGAGAGCCTTTCATCTCAAAAAAGCTAAATACACATTCTTTTCAAATGGACAAGGAACATTTTCAAAGATAGACCACATAATAGGACACAAAAAAGCCTACACATTCAAGAAAATTAAAATCATATCAAGCATTTTCTCCAACCACAGGGGACTAAAACTACAAACAAACCCCAAGGGAAAAAACCCAAAACACTCAAAATCATGGAGATTGAATAGCATGCTATTAAACAATGAATGGGTCAAGAATGAGATTAGGGAAGGAATCAAAAAGTTTCTGGAAACAAATGAAAATGAACTCACTATAACTCAAAACTTATGGGACACAGTGAAGGTGAACTTTCCTAACAGGAAAGTTCATAGTGATACAGGCCCACCTAAAAAAGATAGAAACATTTCAAACAAACAACATAACTCAGCACCTACAAGTACTCAAGGAACAATGAAGACAGCCCAGAGCAAGTAGAAGGAAGGAAATAACCAAGATTGGAGTCGAATTAGTGACATAGAGACTAAAATCCCAATTTTAAGAATCTATGAATCCAGGAGCTTGTTCTTTGAAAAGATAAACAAAACTGATAGGCCTTTTAGCAGGCTCATCAAGAAAAAAAGAGAGAGGACCCAAATAAAAACAATAAGAAATGAAAGAGGAGAGATTACAACTGATACCACAGAAATACAAAGGATTGTAAGAAATTACAGTGAAGAACTGTATGCCAAGAAATTTGAAAATCTAGGTGAAATGGACAAATTTCTAGAAAAACACAATCTTCCAAACTCAATGAAGAAGCAGCAGAAAGCCTGAACAGACCAAGAACAGCAAATGAAATTGAAGTAGTAATCAAAAAACGCCCAACATACAAAAGCCCTGGACTGGATAATTTCACAGGAGAATTCTACAAAGCATTTCAGGAAGAGCTAACCTGTATCCTTCACAGACTATTCCAAAAAATCCAAAATGATGGAAAACTCCCAAATTCTTTTTATGAAGCCAACATAAACCATATCCTAATCCCAAAACCATATAAAAACACAGCAAAAAAAGAAAACTTCATGCCAATATCACTGATGAACATAGATGCTAAAATCCTCAATAACATTGGCAAACCACACCCAGAAATACATTGAAAAGATCATACACCATGACCAAGTTGGACTGATCCCAGGGGTGCAAGGATGGTACAATATTCACAAATCAATAAACATAATACATCACATAAACAAAAGCAAGGACAAAAATCACATGATCATATCAATAGATGTGGAAAAAGCATTTGATAAGATACAGCACCCATTTATGATAAAAACACTCAGCAAAGTGGGAATAGAAGGACCAATCCTCAACATAATAAAGGCCATATATGAGAGACCTACAGCCAACATCATACTCAATGGGCAAAAACTAAAATCTTTTCCACTAAGATCAGGAACAAGACAAGGCTGTCCACTTTCACCACTTCTATTCAACATAGTATTGTAAGTTTTAGCCACAGCAATCAGACAAGAAAAGAAAATAAAAGGCATCCAAATTGGAAAGGAGGAAACAAAACTGTCATTGTTTGCAGATGACATGACAGTGTGCATAGAAAATCCTATAGACTCTCCCCCCAAAAAAACTGCTCTACCTAATAAATGAATTTGGCAAAACAGTGGGATACAAAGTCAATATCCAGAAATCAAAGGCATTTTGGTATACCAACAATGAAATATCAGAAACAGAAATCAGGAAAAAAATCCCATTTAGTATACCAACAAAAAAAATAAAATACCTAGGAATAAACCTAACCAAGGTGGTAAAAGACCTATATGCAGAAAACTACAGAACACTGAAGAAAGAAATCAAGGAAGACAAAAACAAATGGAACATACACATGTTCATGGATTGGAAGAATTGACATCATCAAAATGTCCATAGTACCCAAAGTAATTTACACATTCAATGCAATACCTATTAAAGTACCAATGGTATTTCACAGATATAGAACAAACACTTCAAAAATTTATATGGAACCATAAACAACCCCAAATCACTGCAGCAATTTTGAGAAAGAAGAGAAAAGTAGGAGGGATCATAATACCTGAAACCAAACTGTATTACAAGGCCACTGTGATCAAAACAGCCTGGTACTGGCATAAAAACAGAAAGACCAATGGAATAGAACAGAGAGCCCAGAAATAAACCCAAGTCTCTACAGTCAATTCTTGACAAAGGGGGCAGCAGCATAAAATGGAGTAAAAATAGCCTCTTCAACAAATGGTGTTGGGAGAGCTGGACAGCTACATACAAAAAAATGAAACTCAAGCACCAACTTACACCATACACAAAAGTAAATTCAAGGTGGATAAAAGATTTAACTATAAACCATGACACCATTAAAGTACTAGAGGAGAACACAGGCAGGAAAACCTCAGATATTTCACACAGCAACATTTTCACTGATAATGTTGCTAAAGCAAAGGGCATAAAGGAAAGAATAAAGAAGTGGGATCTCATAAAAATAAAAAGCTTCTGTAAGGCTAAAGAAAACAGTATTAAAATAAAAAGTGAATCAACCATATGAGAAAACATATTTGCCAATGATACCACAAACAAGGGTTTAATCTCCAAAATATATAGAGAACTTACATGACTACACTCTAAGAAGACAAGGAATCCAATTAAAAAATGGGAAAAGGATTTTAACAGACACTTCTCCAAGGAGGACAACAGAGGGTCCAGAGACACATGAAAAGATGCTCAGTATCGCTAGCTATCAGAGAGATGCAAATTAAAACTACAATGAGATTCTACTTGACACTGGTGATTCTTGTATTTTTATTTGAGGTAGATAAGAAGACTATACAGAAGAACACTTTTTCTCTCTCTCTGATGCATCTCAGCACATTTTCTACATTACACATACATAGAAATGACTGGTGAAAAAACAGAAAAGGTGTCTCTGAACCCCACACATTCCATGGGCTAAAGACTCTCTTTTTTTGGCACAAGTCACAATAATTAAAATGCTTAAGCTCGGTTCTTTACATTGTGATTTCACAAATACTAGATCGTTCATCTCTTACTATAGTGCTTATGCAAACAGGTCCCAGTGGTTTCTCAGTGTTATCCAGGTAGAGTGTGTTGGTTACAGGTTCCATTAAAATGTCTTCATAATTTGCTAGAAGTCAGTACAGACACAAAATAAAACTGGTGAACTGACCCTAACTTGTTCAAAGCTAGGGTTGATATTGACACATAATCTAAGTTCTACACAGTAAAATGGATATGAAAAATGAGAGCAAAGACTCAGGGAAGTCATGAATTCTGTAAACAATATGTATGACTGATATTTCAAGTTGCTACTTTAAAAAACATTATCTTACATTTCTTGATACATATATTTTAATGCTGACCTGTTTTAATGAAGAATTTCCAAGCCAAATTATGTCTTTCTGAGCATATCTTTTAAATTCCTCATTGCAAGCAGAGGTGGCTTCACTGCCATCTTTGTGGAGTTCAAGATTCTTACTTAAATGCATCAGCTCTTCCGAACTCGAAGACTCCTTCTCCGTGCTCTCACCTAGTTAGCCCAAGGAGATCACATGGCATTCCACTTACTTGACATTCCACATGACATTCCACAATGTCACATTAACATTGGCTAAGCACACAATAATCTTAGCACTTCTTTTGTTACATAATATGAAGTTTGACTTTTCATTACCTACAGTTGGACAAATTATTTTCTGTTTAATGTGCTGAGAAATCAATAAAGCCCAGAACAAGCTTTAAGATTAAAACAACCACAATGCCAAAACCTTTGTTCATCCTGTCATGATCACAAAGTGAATCAAGTACCACTGTGCACTCTAGAGCCTTTTTCCCATGTATCAAGTATATCCTGAATGCAGAGACCATGCTTTTCCAAATATTACATGTTGTTTATTTCAGAATCTCACCACTTGCTGTTTTGCTAGAACCAGCTTGGGAGATGAATAGATTTAGGAGAAGCCAGAGCTCTTGGGTTCATTTTCAAAGTCAGAATGCCTGAGAACAGTTCCTGATCTCTATACACACAGAAGGTACTTTATTTGGACTGCCTTGTTTATTTGCATAGAAATGCCAGCATTTATATAAATGATATGTGTACTTTACTTCTCTCTCTATCACCTGAAAATAGTATCATCTACAAAACGTAACTATTCATCTAGCTAGATGCATGCTGTAAATATTAAATAATCCTCTCTCTTCCAGTCTCTAAAAAAATACTGGAAGGTAAAATGTGGAATTTTCCATGCCTCCAATGTTAGAATTTTAACAAGAACCTATACACTCTAAGCCAATAGAAGAGAGCTTCCTTTGCAGGAGGGAAAGGGGGTGGGTCCTGGAAAAAGCACAGGCTATGATATCTAGAGGACTGCTGGCCTGCCTTCTTTGTTCTCTGGGATGTTGCATTACCTTGCATAAGCCTCTAAACTTTCTAGGTCTCAGTTATATTCTCGTGTACAAAATAGCCAGTGAAGTGCTTGACTATTTTTTAAGTTCAATAAGATTTTTGTAAACCTGTATATGATTTTAGAAGACCCATTAGGTGCTGTCTATAAATGTGCAGTTATTGGTTTCAAGGGATCCAAGCAGCAGAGAGTTGTCAGAGTGGAAGGGACACCACAGGTATAAAAGTGCATTACTCAATGTCTAGCACACACACAAAAAAGGAATTAAATGTATATTTGCTGACTCAGAAATTAAGCTAAACATATATAGAGGCCTAACGGATTTAATCATAACCATTTGTGATATAAAATTTTATGTTTCAGCTTGGCTAGGCTATGATGCCCAGTTATTTGTTTGAACGACAATCAAGATGTTGCCATGAAGCTAATTTTTAAATGTGGTTAACGCTTCAATCATAGGTTTGAGTAAAGCAGATTACTCTTCATAACATATGTGTGTGGGCCTCATCCAATCATTTAAAAACCTTAGGAGGAAAGACTGGGGTATTGAGAAAAAGAAGGCATTTGGTCTCAAAACTGTAACACAGGAAACCTGGCCTGAGTTATCTACCTGCTGACCTACCTTGTGAATTCTGGACCCAAAAATGTAACATTAACTCCTACCCGAGTTTCTATCCTTCTCTCCTGCAGAATTCAGATTCAAGAGTGCAATTTCAACTCCTGCCTGAATTTCATATCCTTTTGTTACCCAAATCCATAGCCTGCCAGTCATCCTTAAGTACCTCAGACTTGTGAGCCTCCACAAACACATGAGCCAATTTCTTAAAATAAATCACTCTCTCTTTCTGTTGATTCTATTGAATTCTGCTTCTCTGAAGAATCCTGACTAATTCATCATTTGAATTAGTATCTCTCAAAATAAGAGATCAAGCTGGCTTGAAAAATGAGTTTGCATGGTTTATAAAGACAAAAAGAAATAAAATGTTGGCTACAAAAATTGATAACAAAAAAGTAAAGGGATGTTCATGAGAAAGGCAGGAATAAAATTTTTAGGGGATGCTATTGTGTAAATGTGGATAAAAAATGGAACCTAAACTTTAGGATTGCTAGAAAGATTAAATAAGTTAATATTTACATTATTTAGGACAGTGTTTAGGACAGTGTCAGGCACCTAGTAAGCATTCAGTAAATGTTTGGCTAGTATGAATATTTTCATCATCATTATCAATCATCCTCATTATTATTTATATGTGATTATCATATCTGCTTATATAATAAATAATAATTCATTCCCCATAACTATTCCATTACATTGGATATTATTATATATTCCTTTGATGGAAATGCCAAAGAAGTTTAAGAATTAAGAGTTAAGATAAACTCTTTATGAAAGAATGGCATGTAGCCTCATGTTACTTAATCCAAATATGCCAAAATATGCCATACCATTGTAGGATCCTGCAGTAGTAAGTCTGTTAAATGCTGTTTAGGGTTTTAAACTCTACACAATTATTGCAAATTAGACCATATTTACTTTTCCCCCAACCTTAGCTATATGTAATATTTGCAACCATCTAAAACACACATTGGTCATCAATAAATGGTTACATTTAGGAAAAGACAGATTAGCATTTGCAAAAGCCATTTGAAAGTATTTGTAAGCAGTGTTAATATAAAAGATTGAAAATAACTGGTCTCTTACCTTGGGCTCCTCGACATCCATTCTCATCAAACAGCCTCATTAATTGATCATTGTAGAGACTTCTATTATCAGCTTGTAGGGGTGCTGAAAGAGCATATTTATGATAACTTTCTCATCTGTTAATTTATAGACATGCAAATAAAATCACAAATTATTAATCACCATGGCTATTTAAGCATATTATAGGTCACAGATGAAAATTCTATTCAATATGCTATCTTTCTCTGGAAAAAACAATGTTTGTAAATCAATGATAATTTGAACAATGATTTTTAAAGTGTTTATTGCAGAGTATTTATAATAGGATATGTCTCCAATCAAAAGCATCTCATATTCAATGATTATGTCATCTAATACACAAGAATCATTTCAGAACAAGCCATTATGATTTGTCAAATCATACAACAGAGTATATGCATTTCATCAAAATTAATGAGTGTTTTTTATTAGCTACTCTCTATACATCATATTTTTGCTACATGTATAAGAAACACTGACCTTAGGTGATCTCAGACTCTTTTACATATGCTATAGCAATATAGTAGAAAATGCAAGGGCTACTTAGTCCTTTTGTGATTTTGAAGCAACAGTTTATATCATTACAAAAAAAGTAATAACATAATCATAAAAACACGGTTCTGGAAGAGGATCTGAAGGATCATCTAGGTAGATCTTCTGCCACTAGCACCAAACATAAATGATGGCAAGTTGGATGACCCCCCAGTCTTAGAGTTAGAACTCACATACATATACCAAACATGTTCCCTTTCCCATAGGAGGCAAATGAACTAACTGAACTGAGGTTGCACTTTTACTGTGGTAGTTTTAATATTGCCCATATACGCCTATTACTTATCACTTTACACTTCATTGGTGTGCCAACTCTGAAGATGATAGTTAATTCAGCAACTCACATCTGAAAATCCCCTAGCAATTATTCTTGAAGAGCCTTCTGGGATCTTGACTGCCCAAGTTAAAAGCTCCTAAAAGTTGTAGGCCCCTCTTTCTGAGATCTTTGAACATCAGTGTTGGAAAAATCCAATATAGCTTGTAGTCGTGGACTTGAAGTGACTGAATAGGAAAGCCTAGGTTAATGGAGCCAACTGGAATGTTTGAAAGTATATAACATAAAAAGGTCATTGAAGTTAGTAGCTTCTGACCAGTGAATCCTGCAGGTGACTTTTTCAAGTGTCATTTGAACTATGAATGTTTTTTTCCTGTGAAGAATCACAAAGACCTCCTACCATACCAACATTTGGAGACAAGGAAGAGAGGCCATTCCTGAGGGACAATTTGCAGACTCTGCATTGGGGAAGCATGAACTTTTATTTCAGTGTTGCCTGGATCTTTACAACTCTTAGTGGGAATAGCTACAAAACTTAGGAAGCTAACATATGGCTCATAAAAGAATCTTTTTAAAATATATTTTATTGATTATGCTATTAGAGTTGTCCCATTACCCCCCTTTACTCCCCTCCACCCTGCCCACACCCTCCCATCCACATTCCCCTCCTTTAGTTCATGTCCATGTGTCATAAGTTCTTTAGCTTCTACATTTCCCATACTATTCTTGCCCTCCCCCTGTCTATTTTCTACCTACCATCTATGCTACTTATTCTCCATACCTTCCCCCCTCTCTCCTCCTCCCAATCCCCTGTTAACCCTCCATGTAATCTCATTTCTGTGGTTCTGTTCCTGTTTTAGTTGTTTGCTTAGTTTGTTTTTGTTTTTGTTTTAGGTGTGGTTGTTAATAATTGTGAGTTTGCTGTCATTTTACTATACATGTTTTTTTATCTTCTTTTTCTTAGATAAGTCCCTTTAACATTTCATAAAATAAGGTCTTAGTGATGATGAACTCCTTTAACTTGACCTTATCTGGGAAGCACTTTATCTGCCCTTCCATTATAAATGAAAGCTTTGCTGGATAGAGCAATCTTGGATGTAGGTCCTTGTCTCTCATAACTTGGAATACTTCTTTCTAGCCCCTTCTTGCCTGCAAGGTCTCTTTTGAGAAATCAGCTGACAGTCTGATGAGAACTCCTTTGTAGGCTACTATCTCCTTATCTCTTGCTGCTTCTAGGATTCTCTCCTTCATTTTTACCTTGGCTAATGTAATTATGATGTGCCTTGGTGTGTGTTCTTTCTTGGGTCCAACTTCTTTGGGACTCTCTGAGCTTCCTGAACTTTTTGGAAGTCTATTTCCTCTGCCAGAATGGGGAAGTTCTCCTTTATTACTTGTTCAAATAACTTTTCCACTTGTTGCTCTACCTCTTTCCCTTCTGGTACCCCTATAATTAGGATGTTGGAATGTTTAAAGATGTCCTGGAGATTCCTAAGCTTCTCCTCATTTTTTTTGAACTCTTATTTCTCCATTCTTTTCTGTTTTGTTGTTTCTTTCTTCCTTCTGATTCAATCTATTGTTTTGATTCCCAGTTTCCTTCCCATCACTATTGGTTCCCTGTGCATTTTCCTTCATTTCTCTAATCGTAGCCTGGATTTATTCATCTAATTTGTGACCAAAATCAACCAATTCTGTGAGCATCCCGATCACCAATGCTTTGAACTGTGCATCTGATAGGTTGGCTATCTCTCGGTCACTTAAAAGTACTCATTGTGGGGCTTTCAATTTTGTTTAAACCATTGCCCCTTCTCCCTTTGGTCTGGTCACACCTGTTATGTATGAGGGGGGGGAGCCTTAGGTGTTCACCAGAACAGGGCACCCCAGTCGCTGGGTTGTGATGTTGTATGCGGGGGTGGGGTCCAAAAGGGAACAATGGTGTTTGCTCTGCTCTCCGTGGGACCTCAGTCCCTTCAGCCACTTCCCCCGAGCAAACTTGACCCCACCCCCCCCCAGTGCCAATTCCTGTGTGAGTGGGCTTGTGCACCTTGTGAGACTTTCCAAGGACTTCTGTGAGGCTGGGCATCTCTCCCTGCGCCTCAATCCCCACAGGTGTTTTCAATCAGTGTCCCGAAGCTCTATTTCCCAGCTCTGTGATCCTGGGTTGCACACAGTGCCTTGCTTCACAATGGCCGCCTCGCTGGGTCTGCCATTTGCCACCCCTCAGCAGGGGTCTGCCAGTTGCCACTTGGGTGCTCAGGGTCCGACTACTGCAGTCTTGCATGCCCTGGATGCCTTACGTGCCCAGTCCCAACACTCTCTGCTCTCTGAGCCGCAACCTGCGCCCAGATGCCCGACTCTGCCCCTCCTACTCGTCTAGACAAATGGGTCTATTTTAACTTCTTGGTTGTCCAACATACAGTTCAATTTTCTGTCAGTTCTGGCTGTTATTCTGTTTCTAAATTGTTGTTGTCTCCATCTTGGTTGTGCGAGGAGGCACAGTGTGTCTACCTATGCCTCCATCTTGGCCGGAAGTCATAAAAGAATCTTATTTGGAAGTTAACATCAAGCAATAGCAGACGCATAGATGGAAATTTCCTTGCAGATGTAATAAAACCCCCAGTATAAGGACTTGATAATCCTGATGTATCAATGATGGTCAGAGACCAGAATAAATGACCATACATTTGGAATGTCAAAACAAACAGAAGAGTGGATAGGGTTACTGTACAGATACCATCTTCAGAAGAGAGGCATCATGACACAGGTTTGGTATCAGCAAAACTTGCACTGAAATCCCAGATCCTCCACTTTTTAGCACTGTAATCTTGGAGCAGTTTTTTTAGAGCCCCTGAGCTTTAATCCTCTTGCCCCAAAACAGGAAGGTTGGGGGGGGGGTATCAAAATAGCATATATGTATGTTATTATAACATATATAATATAACATAACATATATAAGTATCACTTCATGCCTGGCATGGGGTAGGCACTCGCCAAAAGGTAGCCAACCCATGTGTTTGTTGTTAACTATTTGGTAATTGTATGAAATGCATAATTCTTCAATAGTTTGGGCTCTGTCATCCTGAACTAGTATCTTTGCTTTCATAATGAAATAATGAGTTACAGTCAGCTTTTGGGGGTGTATGAGAGGAATCTGAACTAGAGAGACCTAACCAACAATTGCCATAGAGGTTTTGATTCCTTAGCTATGCATATCTGGTGAGCAGTCCACCTCAGTGATGCTCTTTTAAGACTCTGGATGGTCAAACAGCTTACACAGCACAGAAACTGAAGGTAACAAAAGGTCCCCTTCAAACTCAATTTCAACAATTTTAATTAACCTGCTTTCTTTCCCCTTCAGGAGTTTCCTCAAAGGGAAGAGTACAAAAAGCCAATAGGACAAACACAACTGCTGAGAAGAGAACAGATAATACCAAAGACAGAGTCTGAATTCTACTCCATGCTTGCAAGGTCTCTGTGATCTCAGGAGAAATACTAAGTCTTTCTAAGGTTGTTTCTTCATCTTTAAAATGAGACTAATAATGGCAAGTTGTTTTGTGTCAGTTGTTCAGAGTTACTATGTCCTTGAACACACTCCTTGAACACTCAGTAAATAATAATAACTAATGTTTATAGAAGGCTTGCCATGCATTAGATACTATGCTTAGCATTTTAAACTCATTTACTCATTTATACATTAATTCAACAATACTTCTCAGGTTAACCTTGTTCTATGCCAACATAGAACATGCTATGCTAAGTGTAAGGATTCATCAGTGAACAAAAACAACTCTCACCCTCTTTGTGTTCAGGAGATGGTCTAAAAGGGAGAAATGCATTTCACAATCACACTAATAAATAGTTTGCTGACCATTTCGATGAGTTTGTTAAAGTAAATATACAGGGAAACAGCTCCTAAGCTAGTCAAGAGAGTTGACAATTTTCATTTAAGCCAGACTTCAAGCAGAGAGGGCATTGGTCACAGGAGGAGAGAAAGGAGGCTGTCCTAGCACTTGCGGGAGAGTTCAATGTCCAGAAGCAGCTCCATGTACATGAGGAACAAAAAATGCCCAGTGTGGCCAGAGCGCCCTGAGCACATGAAGAGAACCTGAGAGTATATTGGTCTTCACACTGAAAGCTGTGGGCAGCAATGAGAAGGCTTTAATAAGGGAGTAGCAAAGATTATACATAGAGAACAGATTAAAGGTGAGCAGAAGATGTGGACAAAAGCAGTTCATTAACTCCAAGTAGGAGCTGATGTTCACCTGGGATTGAGCAGGGGCAACAAAGATGCTAAGAGGCAACAGGAAAAGAGATTTCATATATCTTGTGATTTTCATGTCAACAAATAAATATTAAGCATCATATATGAGCAAAGTACTTATGCCAGATTCTAAAGACATTTAAGGTCTAGTGGAAAAGAAAGCTAATAAAGAAATAAGTTCAGCAATAAATATGTTACTAATAGCTAAGATGCATGCCAAAATAAAACACAGGATGATTAGACAAAGAGCAACAGAGTTAAGATTCGTGATTAGGGAGAACACATTTAGTACATCAAATTAACAGGCCCTCACCACCCTATAAGGTGAATTAATTAGTTATGTAATGCAACATGCTATGATTAATCTTATGTATTTATTTGGATAGGCTGCCCAATTGTTTGGTCAAACATCAATCTAGATATTTCTGTGAAGGTGATCTTTAGATGTGATTAACATTTAAACCCTTAGACATTGAGTAAAGGAGGCTACTCTCCATCATGTGGGTAGGCCTCATCCAATCAGTTAAACACTTAAGAGGAAAGACTGAGCATTGTCAAAGAAGTGATTCTTCTCAACACTGCAACACATAAATTATGCCTTCATTTCCAGTCTGCTGCCCTGCTGAATTGAGTCTCAAGATGGCCTGAATTTTATCAATGCTTACCTGAATTTTATATCAACTCTTACCCAACTTGCCAGCCTGCCAGCCTACTGCAGAGAAAGACTTGCCAGTCTCCACAATCATGAGTCAGTTTCTTACAATAAATCTATTTCCCTCTCTCTTTCTGTATGCACATATGCACACATTATTCATGTATTATGCAATATGCAGAGAGAGAAAGAGAGAGGTCCTATTGGTTCTCTTTCTTTGGAGAAACACTGACTAATCCATAAGCTAACAGTAATTTAGAATCATATATATAAAATTATAAAATACTAAAATGATGTGCATCTACTGCATAGCAGCACTCAGATACATATTCCATATTAAGTAAAAGGTATTTACCAGGAACCAATAATAAAGGAATTGTCCATTCTTTTTATAATTTCTGCTGTATAAAAATTGATGTAATATTATCCTCCAGGATTTAGTGTAAAAAATCTGGTGGTAGGTGATAAACACTGAAAAAGCCATAAAGTCCATTAAACATTGAAAGTTATCTAACTGATGTTACTTTTGTTTATACCTTGACTTCCAGGAATCTCAAAGTAAGTGTGAGTGCTTAATTACAGTAATACTGTTGTCCCCTGTTTCTTGTACATTTACTTCTTTTTGTTTGTGCTCTCAAATCCCCTTCATCTTTATTTGAACTTTGCTTTAATCATATGCATTTATATTTCTCTGATAAGCTGTGTCAAACTATTTTGGAAGCAAGTAAATAAACTACAAACAGATAAAAGTAAGAACAAAGGTAAACCAAAGTGAAGATAGATGGGGCAAGCAGACTTTTGGGGTGCCCCCAAAGTCTGCCCCACAGAGCACTGGGCTCTGCATCTTTGCTCCAACTGGCCTCCTTGGGGCCCATCCCAACAGCACTGCTGTCTTGTCTCTGCAGGTCTTCAACCGTGCATTGAAGAAGATGTGGATGGACACTTTGTGCTAATTAGCACTGCCTAGTCCCTTAAATAGGGTAACTGCACAGGCTTGAGTACCCAGCAAAAAGAACAAGAGCACATCACTGAATGGAGACTTAAAATGAGATTGTGGGCAAATGTAAAGAGAGCTGTCTGCTCTAAAATATGAGGCCCCAGCTTAACCACAGGAGCTGGGCAATAACTGCTGGAAGGATGACCAACAATATTTTGTTTTATGAAACTTCCTGCTTATAGTTAGAACTATTCTTTGACTTGAGTCAACTTTAGTCCTTACATTATAAAAATTCTGCCTCATGGAACTATATGTTTTGATCACCAAGAAATTGAAACAGACTTCAACTGATAATTCAATTGATACTTCTCTCCAGAATTCATTGAGATTATCTGTCATTTCTAAAGTGTGTTGTGGGCAAATAAAAAGTTGAGATTTTCTATTTTCCAGTTCACCCTGATTTTGAGCTACTAGTGAAACCTGTTCCTAATAGTAAGTCCTCGCCTTACCTTGTACATATATGTCTTTGGGTGATATTTGTGGATACTGTATCATTTAAACATAGGTTTAGTTTATTGAAAACTGACTTTTAAAATAATCTTTGTATTGTACTTGAGCCCTCTGTTTGTGAAGAGTTACCCCAGTTTTTATTAAGAAGTGCAAATTCAGTGACTGGTGCTTAACAGTGGAATGTGATCTTCTGGATTACAAATGACTCTAAATAACATTGTCACTATCACTATCTCATCAGTAACCTTTTTAAATCCTAGAGTGTTTGGTAAACTATCAAATATGCATAGTGGTGTTAACATAAGGAGTGATGTTGAATTGTTATTTTACAACCACAGCTACACTCAAGAGTATAGAAGAGGGAATCTTTATGCCACTGTACCTGTATGGTTCAAAACTTGGGTGGTGGTTCCATACCTTCCATGAAAGAAATTCAATAGTCAACATGTACGGAAAGCTCATGTCCTGGATGAATTTTACTGAGGAGTGTCCATTTTAAACTCAAAGAACAGAAATGGCATTTATAGAACGATGATGCTCTTCATATGTGTAACATGGGCCTTATAAAGACAGCAAACTGCTTACCTCATCCTCAAATGAAAGCAAATTCCTGCTTCTTCTACCTGACCAGCTTTCTGTCCTTGATCAAAAATTACCTTTGCTGTCCATCATGTTGTTAGTGGCTAAAACTTACCATTTAAATTGTAAGCTGCAAAATCTAAATGGAACTGCATGTGTGATCTTTGTCACCTCATTTTCATGAATGGAAAAGAATATTCTGACACAAAAATTACATACTTAATTCTAGCTCACCCTCTCTGCTGACCTCCATCCTACACTGCCTTGGGTTTATTTCCTCATCCATCAGTGGGTCAAAGTAATTTCTCCTGTATTCATTTCCTGTGGAAAGTACATGAAGTAAGGGTCAGTGATTATTAGAAGCACATGAACCAAAATGTTAATTTTGAAATCGACACCAGCACAGAAGGGCCATTTTAGCTACTTTATAAGCTTAATTTTTCTACAAGACTTCCAAGCTTCCCATTTTTATAATTACCATCTTGCAAAAGGTCATGAAACAAGTTCATGCTATCTTTCTGCTGCTAAAAATTTCATAAGAAAATTATCAAACATAAACTTTAAAATAATAAAAATTCCAAGCAAAATTATTTTTAGGATATACTCAAGGAATAGACATTGTTGGATTATAATTATGTTTCGAGTACACTGAACTCTTTATATTCACTTGTATATCATTCACTAAGTGTATCATGTTTTAGTGTCCAGAATATTACAGTCAACTTAGTAGTGACTCAATTACAAGAAACTGTAGCAAAATTTCCATGTTGATAGTTAAATAAAAAGAAAGAGAGAGAAAATGGAGGGAGAAAGAGACTAAAAGAGAGGTAGGGAAAATTGAAGGAAGGAATATGGGAAGGGAGGGAAGTCAAAGAGGCCTGATTACATGTTTCTTTTATATCAATTTAAGTAACATGAAGGAAAGGTACAAATAATTTAGTCTCAATTGTACTTAATACACACCAACAATCTCAAAAACACAAACCAAAAATTCTCACTTTACATTTCCCACTTACTTTTGCTCTTATCTCAATAACCAAACTGTAGCATCAAATATGACTTTGTAATAGATAAAAAGGCCTGTTCTCAATTCTCCAATCTACTTTTATACTTCCTGCAGACTGAAATATATATGTCTGTTGCTAATAATTTGCATTCAGTAAAATGTAACCTCCTCTGGTAACAATTCAAGTAGCCTTAGATGCTGTGAAAGTAATAAGCAATGTAGACAGAAAACAATAGTTCTGAAATACTGCTCACAGGACAGGGTTATTGTATACCAGGTATACTGTGATACTCCATAGAATATTTGTTTTAGGATCAAAAATAATCCAAATAGCAGCTCCTTCTGCAAGACTAACTGGAATTTTGGTATGAGCCTAGGTTTAATTTATATTTCTGGACTGGCACATTTTGCTGTCAGTCTCTGTTCTATCAATGTAGCGAGTACAAGAGCTGAAAATCTGCTTTTCCTTGAGGTCTCAATAAAGAAAAATAAATGAGTTTCATTTTTGTTACTTTATCTGTCAACAGCTACTAGGCTGGTATGAATCTCGGCAGTATGTAATCAAAGTCTTATGTACTGCAATAGCACAGCAATTCTACCACACTCACTGTAATTGTTTTGTTTTTCCCCTTTACCACAAAGCACTGTGATACTCCAAGTACAGTTGTCCATATGTTGGAAAAAATAATTCACCCCTATCAAAAAAAAAAATGTTAGTGTATTCTTTATTATAGCCATAGCAGTTTCAATCAACTATGGATACCCATATCCTAAAAACACCCTCAGTCTAATACAGAACTCAAATTCTTTGTCTACTGAAATGACTTATTAGTAAATAATACCAAGAGAAATCTCATAGACACACATAACAGTATGGTGATTACCAGAGGGAAAAGGTGGTAGGGAGAGTTGGAAGAGGGTACAGAGCGGGATAAATGGTGATGGAAGGAGACTTGACCTCAGGTGGTGAACACATAACACAATATACAGATGATGTATTATAGAATTGTACACCTGAAGCCTATATAATTTTATTAACCAATGTCACTCAAATAAATTCCATTAAAAAAGTTTTAAAAAAGACCTTGGAGAGTGATACAAAGTTAACTTATTTTTAACCAAAAGTATGGAGAAGTTTATTTGGTTTGTAGGTTGTCAAATCATTTCATCCTGTTGTCAGTTGAGAAATTAGGGTCTTGCCCAGCTGTGTGAGAAGAGGGCCTGCACTGAGGGAGCCTTGCAGACCACTAAGCCTTCCCTCAGGGCTCCCTGCTTTCGCATGCAAGTGGGAGAAGGGCCCCTCAAAAGTCTATGTTTTGAAATCTATGCAAATTGCTCCAACACATTGAGTGTGGGTTGACACACACATGTAAGTTATAAATGCCCCTCCTGGGGTGATTGATTTTGTACTTCCCATTCTGAGATAGGGTAAATAGCATTTTACAAGTAAAGAATTATGAGAGAACTTGACCAAAGAGGCAATCCTTGACATTCTCAATACTGATTTCCTTTAAACATTCCCAAATTCTGTATTATATGTTTATATAATTCATATAGTTTTATGTTTTATATCCATTTTATACTTTATCATACATTATGTATTGTTTTACATGTGTGACATTATACATGTTTATTGTTTGTCTTCTCCACTAAAATGAGGGCAGTAACATTATCTCTTTGTTTACTACACTCCCCTTGGTGCAAAGAATTGTACCAGGCACACAGAGGCTTTTACTCAAAGTATTATCTGAATTCATTTGTGGAAATCCTATTGTAATACTGAAACCCTTTCATTGTCCATATGGTCTTTCTTGATTTAAATGAGCAACAAGTTATCACCCTTTCTATTTCTCCTGCCCTCTCTCTTTTCCATGAACACCCCTTTCCTTTTCTTTTTTTTAAATGAGTGCTTCAGGAACCAAACACCATGTCTGGATTTAAAAACAAACAAAGAACCATGGTCCCTACCGTTACAGCACAGCTCACTGAGAGAACAAGAAGCCTAAGTATGTACAGTCTGATATAATTTAATGCTGTGTTAAGGAATAACATTCTGCTTGAGCACATAGCAGGAGCATCTAACGTCTACTGGGTATTTCAAAGAAGACGTCCTGGAAGAATGGCTATCTGAAAGAAGTTTTAAGATGTTATTAGGAATTAGCCAAATCAAAAGTACTAGGGAACAAAATTTTTAAAAGAAGGAGCATAAGCAAATGAGAAAAGACACAAAGACATAAAGACAGGAGAAGAGGTTTCCTTAGCGGATGTTCCTCAATTTTTCTTGGCCTCATAAAGTTACAAAATAGTCAAGTAAGAATTGAAATCCAAATTTCTTCAGTAGTCCCAGAACACATTTTAACTGATGCTTTGCTCAAATTATTTTTTAAGTTTCTATACAATGTCACTTTATGCTTATATGATGTTTCATAACCATTAATTCATTCAACTAATACTTATTGAGTGCTTTTTATGTGAAAATGTCAGTAAAACACAACATTCAAAAATCTCTTCACTCACATAGTTTACATTCTGTGAGTGGAAGAATATAAAGGAACACGTATATTTTATAACCTGTTAGATGATGGTAAGTGACAGGGGGAAAGATGGGGCCAGATAAGGTGATTAGGTGCTCCAGAGAATGGTAAGGGTACATCCTTGTGTACCCTTTTTCTTCAAAATAAGAAAGACATTCAGGATTAAATCACTATTGAGATAGTGAAACAATAATGTACAATTATTATAAATACAAAGTATATAATAGAAAAAATAAATTATAAATTATAATTTATTATCTGTAACATCACCGTTTATAATTTATTATCTATAACATTACTATTTTGCCAATTGATTGCTATAGCATATGAATCAAATAAGAACCTACTATTAAACATTAAAATGGTTCTCGTTTCTTTTGGTGTCTCTTGCTCTGAGAAGCCAAAACCCTAAACACAGTAGGCAGAGTTTAAGATGGTAAAGCACAAGGAACCGCTTACAAATTTCAAAACAATGGACTTCATCTTAACACTAGTCCCTTTGCTCATGTTTTATTGGATAGTGTCAGGAATTAATAAAATGAGATGATTTTAGTATAGTGTGGATATTACCAGAAGGTAGATTGTTAATAGGATGAATTCCTAAAAATGCCTTTATCATTCAGAGTATGCTTTTGGATATGGTCTAAAATCATCTCACAGGAAAATTAACAGATCCACTGGGAAATTTAAAGTAGGGCATTTAGTAATATTCACACAATAGGTTTTAATATAGCAGATGTCTTACTGTTTGTTATATTCAGATGAATAATCTGATAATCACATATATGTAGAAGTATGGTTCAGCATTGAAGCAATTGATATGATACATAAGCAAATAAATCAGTAGATTGGTCTTGTTGATACTCTATTTTTGCTTCCAATGCCATAGCACTTGCCGCTTAATGTTTAGAATCAACACTAGTTAATGCATTTCTTGTGCTATTTTTTACTGAATTGGGGGAGGAAAACACATGCACTTGTCATTGCCCTTCCACATGTATCAGGTTTTCCTATCATTTAACTCAGAACAGCATAGAACATAATTCAGGGCTTTTACTTAAATTACACCGTACATGAACTTTGGTCAGGAAATCCTCCAGTGTGCACCCATGCAGTTCCTTGGGGGCTGTAAGAGTGAGAATGAAATTGCCCACCAGAGAAAGGTTAGTGTGAATCATAGAAGTGTCTTGACTCAACGAGGCAATCACTTCCTTTCAAGTCAGCCACATTAGCTCTAGAGGAAGAAAACCTGAGTACATCTGTTATTTGGGAGGTTTTTATTGGCTCCTTGCTTGTCCTTTCCTGTGAATCCATGTGCTTCAGCTCAGCTTTTTATCACCAATCATCATGTTTTATAATATATCCTATAAGTGAAATAAACACAAGACCTACATGTAAACTAATTTCATAATTTATATTCTATGATTACAGCCATGCACTAAAAATTTACAAACTAGGATATTCTGCTGAACATTATTCTTTTTAAAGGCATGGAGCCTAGATAACTAAAATTTGGTTCCTATGAAATGTATAAATAGATTTAGAAAAACTTCATATTTTCCCCACTTTGAAAATCTAATACAAAAATTGCAAGTTGACATATCCACAAGGCCAGGCAGCTTACATACATGTATGTCACATAAATGTGCAGATCCAAGGACTGAAATAGAATAGAGGTTAGTGGAATACATCAAAATTCAGGTATGTTCTATCATACATATCCATTAAAATACTATTGTCATAATGTTAATTTACAAATATTCTTAATTAAAGGCAGCTAA